TTGTGGTTTGATGACGAGGGCCATGAACCGAACCTCAGTCATGATGAGTTGTATGCGCTTGACAGGATAGCGGATGAAGTAGAAGTGAAGCGGCTAATGAGCAAAGGCGTTTTGCGTGCCGCGACTGAGCATGACAATGTTCAGACAATGAAGAGTTTGTCTACCAAAATGGTGAGATCGTGGCGTCGCAAACGCCGCGCAGGCAAGTCGCAGTATCTTCGAAGAAGCCGTCTTGTAGCACGAGAGTACAGATGGCTGGAGGACAAACAAGGCCTCTTTTCACCATCAACCACGACCAACGTGGTGAAGCTCATACCGTTGCTCTTCTTGTTGTGGCGAACCACTAGGGTGGACACTACCGGGGGAATAGCATCTATCGACGTTAAGGATGCGTACTTAGAGGTGCCACAGGAAGACCCGGTGATTGCTGGACTGCCCGCTGACTATGTAGGATCTGGAAAATACATCTTCTTGAAGTGCGTTCCGGGACAGAGAGACGGGGCGCAGAGATGGTTCAATTACTACGTCGATTTTGTCAAGTCAAAGATGCCGTTGGTTTCATGCACAGAGAACCCTGCGATCATGAGAGTCCCAGAGGGACCAATGCTTATGCATGTTGATGATGGCCTTACTCTTGGACCGTTGGGATGGCTCAAGGAGACGTACATCCCTGCGTTGAAGACGCGGTTCGAGATATCGGTCGACATTGCCCACAAGTTTGGTGATGTGTTTTCTTTTCTCAAACGCAAGCACACAATTCTGGAATCTGGTATTCTCATAGAGACACCTGACACCTACATCAAACACATGGCCAAGATCCTTGGAATTAAGAACGGTTCAAAGCACAACACACCGTACTATCCCGACTTGATCCGCGATGACTGTTCAGCTGCTTTGGGGGCTGCTGATGCTGGGAAGTACAGGAGCGCATTGGGAGTTGCATTGTACCTCTCCAATGACAGGATTGACATTTCTTACAGTGTTCGAGTTCTTGCATCTTTTATGTCTGCTCCAACGGAGACCGCTATGAAAGGACTGCATCGGCTGACCAAGTACCTCTTGAACACCATGCATTATGCCACTTTGCTTGCACCGAAGCTGCCGGGATCTTCAGTCTATCACGCCGAACAACATGATGACCAGGACCACTATATGGAGATCTACAGCGACTCTGACTGGTCTGGGAACAAGGTTACCCGGAAGTCCTTTGGATGCGCCAGCTTTGCGATCAATGGGTGCGTTTTTCACCACATATGCAGGTCTCATCGAACAGTGTCTTTGAGTTCAGCGGAGGCCGAATGGTATGCGGGGATTTCAGCTTCTTGCGAAGGTATCTTTCTGAGATCAGTATTCGCTTTTATGTCGTGCTCCCCGTGTTCGCTGCACCTTAAGCTGGACAACTCAGCTGCGCGGCAACTGGCACTTCGCCAGGGCGTAGGGAACAAGACACGTCATGTTGCAGGTCGACTTCTCTGGCTACAGCAGGCGGTCAAGGAGAAGGTGCTCACAGTTTCAGCGATCGCCTCGGCGTATAACCTGGGAGACCTTTCGACCAAAATGCACCCAGTTGGCCGTCTGAGACTTCTGCTGTTCCTTCATGGTTTTGCTGATTGCGACACTGCAGAGCCGATTGGATGTTTAGAGTATGAAGAGATGGTCTTGCGAGAAACCGTGAAAGCTCAGGTGAAACGCGTTCGACTGGATTATGCCCGAGCTCATGGATGTTCGAGCAACTTGAAGAGTGATGCAAACAGGTTGGCCAAGCAGATCGCGATGCTCACGATTATGATGGCTCCCCACTTGGGGGAGGCAGCGGACGATGGCCACACTCCGCATGCTGCTGGAAATGATTTCTCGATGATGGTTGCAGCCTTGATTTTCATCTGCCTTATGTTCTTCAGAGCCTTGAGCTGGCTGCGTGGACAGGGTTTCGACTTTAATGCAATTGTCGAGCTGAATGCGGCGGATGTTGGATCAGGCATGCTTTGGGAATGAGTTTGATTCCTGAGATGAATGCTGAGCAATGGGCTATCGTGATGCTGCTCTACATTATCCTTCGTATGCGAAAGGCAAGTGAGGCTTTCTTTTGCAGTGAGCCGACTGAGAGTTCAAGTGAGCCGCATGTGAATGCAAGTGCCGGTGAATCCAAGCTGAATGCGAGTTCTAGTGCGAGTGGTAATGCCGTTGAGAGTAGCGCGTCAAGTAGTGGAGAACCCATCCGGGCACCCAACGTTGTGAACCAAGCTATTCTTTGTGCTGAGAGAGGTGATTGTTACCACAAGCCCGGATGTCATGTGCTTCGTACAGTCCGTTCACGAATCAAGCGGTATAGGCCGTGTGTGTACTGTGTGCCAGATGCCAACCGAGACGGTTGAAGCATCGTGTAGTGTTTGAACAAAGTCAAGGTGAGCACGGTGCATAGCGCATCATGCTCAGGCGGGGTGTTGACTTTTGACACATATGAGCATACCCCATTTTCCTTGGCGATTTTGTAGTGTTTTACTGATCATGTGTGGCATGAGAACACATGTGATTATATGGACCGCACCGCGACTTTCAGGCTCTAGAGTGTTTGGAAAAGATCGTGCATTCGTTCAGTTTTCCGTGAAAACTCCCCTTGACTCTCGGCTGTGCCGTGAAAAGAAGTGTGAGCGTCTCTGCATCAATTTCTTATCGCTTGTACATATTTGCCTGGACCAACATATATGGTCAACGATTCTTTATATGATTCAAGTCGGAGATATTTGATCGAGACTTCTATTCTTGATACAAATATTTGATTGTCATGGATGACCGGATCTTTAAAACAGTGCATTTGCCGCTTGTGACAAGCTCACCTTGCGTGCTTTCGATGAGCTTGTTTGGTGTGCCACTTACATCATGCGAGTACTTGTGCAAAAAGGAGCCGTCCACCTTGTGCTCTCCTGTGGTCGGGTGATCTCGGGACCTCTCCACGACTTCTGGAAAATCAAGACCGATCGTGCCCGCCCCTTGTTGAAAACTATCGACTTGAAGGCGGCGTATAAACAGCTACCGCTCCACCCGGAGCATCGCAGGTTTTGTGTGGTCGCCTTGAAACACCCAGACAGCGGCCAAGTTCGGGGCTACGCATCGAGAGTCCTACCCTTCGGGGCCTCGGGGAGCGTGACATGCTTTAACAGGGTTGCACGCTTGATCCAACGGATTCTCCAGGAAGCCTGGATCTTAAACTGTAACTATTTTGATGATTTTCCGGTGTTGGAGTCATCCGCCCTGTCGGGGAGCGCCGACTCCACTGCCCATTGCATACTTGACCTACTCGGCTTCGAGTGCTCTACCGAGAAGGAAGAGCCGTTCAAGAGCAGTGCCGACGTCTTGGGAGTCACTGTAGACCTTTCTTGTGAAGACTTGTCCGAGGTGCGTGTGCGCAACCGGGAGGTAAAGTGCTGCGAGGTGGCGGCCTCCGTCGATGAGGTTCTTGAGAGGGGCGCCATTCGGTCTGCGGTAATCGCTTCTCTCTTCGGGAGGATTCAGTTTCTTGAAGGGCAGCTTCTGGGACGTATGGGGCGACTGGCTTTGTCTGAGCTTCGCTCCCTTGGGACTTCCGGGGGTATCCTCAAGCTCGGTGTCTCAGAACGTCATGCCTTCCAGAATCTTCGTGAGCGTTTGCTTCATGGACCGCCTCAGGCGATCTCCGCTCGCCCACCTGGGGCTAATGTTATTGTGTTTACAGGCGGCGCCTGCGAGCCGGAGGGTGATAGCATGCTGTGCTCCATCGGTGGGGTGCTGTATGTTGAGAGCTCCGGCAAGTGGGTCACTCGATACTTTGGCTGCCGACTGCCCGATTCGCTTGTCAAGACTTGGAGTGCTTCTGGGAAGAAACACTTGATAGGGCCCGTTGAGTTGTACGCAGTGGCGACAGCAAGACTGTTGTGGCGAGAGTATCTCGATTTCGCCAAAGGCATTTTCTTCATCGACCACGCCGGTGTGCACGCCGCGTGTGTCAATGGATCGTCACACGATCGCCTCTGGCGGCTCATCCTTTTGAAACTTGAGGAAGCGGATGCCAAACCTATGATCGCCTGGTATGCCCGCGTTCCTAGCCAAAGCAATCCTGCAGACCCTCCGTCTAGGGGGTCCAGCCTTTTCCCAGTGTGGGGCACATGCTCGAGGGATCATCCGAAGTGCTGCATATCCGGCGAGCTCTTGAGTTCGTTTGGTGAGACGGGAGATTGTTGAACGAGCTCAATCCTCGTGAATGATGCTCGATCGGCTTTCTCTCGCGTGTCGGATCTTTCCCGAATCGGCTGTGCCGCCTACAGAAAAAAGAGTGAGTCCGATGAGTGTGCGTTCTGCAAAGCTACGATTGTCTGCACATTTATATCCCTGTGCAATATACGATTGATTGATGTTTTGAGAATGACTCTTTTCAATTATTATATTTGTGCGAAAAGTAGCTTTAGCTATAAGCATATTTTGAAACTTGTTTCATTTGGCTTTATAGCTCAAGCTATGTTTCAAATGCGACGTTGCTTTTGAAACTCGCTTTTCGCACAACCTTCTTTGAACCTGGGGGGGCAAACAACCTGATTTTTAACTTTGACTTTGCCGTGAATCTCTCGTCATGATGCGAACCTTGATGTTGATCTTTTGAATGACTTTGCCTTCGGCAGTCATTTGTGGATCGCGTTCGCCATCTGGCGAGATTCGAAATTTTTGTCCCACCCAACCCACCCGGGAGATTGTTGAACGAGCTCAATCCTCGTGAATGATGCTCGATCGGCTTTCTCTCGCGTGTCGGATCTTTCCCGAATCGGCTGTGCCGCCTACAGAAAAAAGAGTGAGTCCGATGAGTGTGCGTTCTGCAAAGCTACGATTGTCTGCACATTTATATCCCTGTGCAATATACGATTGATTGATGTTTTGAGAATGACTCTTTTCAATTATTATATTTGTGCGAAAAGTAGCTTTAGCTATAATGAAAACATAACCAAATAAAAGCCGCAGGCCGTTTCGCGGCCATGCCCCTCTCCACCAGGCCTACTCAGCCACTCACTCTCGCGTCTGTGCTGCAGCCACAAGGGGAGCTCGTGCAAAATCGTGCCCTCATATGCGACAGTGCCGGTAATGCCAGTTCAGCGGATTGGAGCCACCCCAAGCCCAGCCCAAAAGCTATGCAGGACATCATGAAAGCCTGGTTGCAATGGGCCTCACAGCGGGACCCCCAGAGTAAGCCGGAGCATCCCATACCCGAAGAGGACCAGCTCGAGCTCATTAGAATAGCCTGCGAGGTCATGGATTGGGATTACAACTCCATGATCCAAGCCGCCGACGGGCAGCCCTTTCGCCTTAACCTCATGCAGGCCTTCGCGGATCTCCTTCACGACCCGGACAAAGACCTTCCAGCCTTGCTGCGAGTAGGGGTCCATACAGGGGTCTGCGATGAGATCCAGCCATCGGGACTCTGGCCGCTAGCCAAGATACAGCCTCTTTCATCCTCAGGACTCGAGGTATGCGAAGGCAACTGGAAACCGGCCGAAGCCGACCCGGACACAGTTCGCAGCCTTCTTGCGGACGAAGAAGCGGCAGGCTGGATCAAGCCTGTGCCAGGAGGCCTTGAGGAAGCCAAGCGCATCTGGCCCAAGGGTATAGCTGTAGGTAAACTTAGCCTCGTCAAGGCAGAGAACCGAGAGGTCCTAGACAGCACGGTCTGCCAAGTCAATCCAATGTGCCGCATCCCAGAAGCGGTATCCATGCCTACGGTCAATGATGTCCGAGCCACATTCATGCCTTCCGACCCTAGGGGAGCCTTCCTTGCGGCCAGTGTGGACTTCAAAGCAGCCCACAAACGAGTTAAAGTCCACCGCTCCAAGCAAGGCCTTCTCCTCTTCATGTTCGAGAAGATCCTTTACAGGTATGTCGTTTGCCATCTCGGAGCCAAGTTCTCGGCCTACTGGTGGCAGCGGGTGGGCGGCCTTATTTTACGCGCGTAGCACATCATGCGCTAGCCTTCGCGCCCCATAAAGCCTGGCTCTATGTGGACGACTTGCTCTCAGCCTTACTCCGAGCCTTTGCGCCCGAACTCCTCTTCCTTCTCATAGCTACTCTGTCCAGCCTGGCGGCCCCTATCAGGCTTCGGTAGGGGACAGCCTCGTCTGGTGCGGTTGGCATTTTAACTTCCGCCTGGAGACAGCGGACCTCTGTGAAGCCAAACGATCTAAACTGTGCGCCCAGATCAAAGCCTTGCTTTCTCGGAAAAAGGTCCCTCGCAAGGACCTTGAGGCCTGCGTCGGTCTCCTCATGTGGGCAACAGCCATAAGCAAAGTCCTGCGCGCCCACGTTGCCCCCTTATACGGCATCCTGAACAGCCCGCCAGGCAGCAACTGCTCGATCTCTTCCAGGATGTGGCCTGCCTTTCTCCACAGCCTGGATTCAAGAGCTTTCGTGTGCAGGCTGATACCTGCCCATCAAGGCTCGCATCATAGAGGTCGGCAGCCGACCGGTGCACTGCAAGGCCGACCTTCCACCCCAGCCCAAGTCCTCCGGACCCACATGGGTTTGCATCTCAGACCCCACGTGCCCTGAAATCAAGCTCACCAACACAGCCCAGACAGCCTCCGCTGGCTTCTGCGGCGCATCGAAGCCATCCCAACCACCAGCCTGTCCCTTCCGCCTCTGGTGCCTTGCCTTGCTAGAGCAGACGCCATGGCAGAAGGGGATCGAGTGGGCATCGGGGGTTGGATCAGTTGGATCACCACCAAGCAAAGCATGGCCTGGTTCGCCGAAGCCTGGAGCATGGAGGAGGTCAGACACACTTGGCCTTTCCTCACCAAAGACGCCCAGAGGTACATAGCCTGCTTTGAAACGCTAGCACAACTAGCGTTAGCCATGACAGCCCGAGAACATCACGCCTTCTCCCAGTTCTCAGTGTGTCTGCCCTCGCAGAGCGACAATACCCCTTCCGAAGCCGGGATCAACAAGCTCTTCACAACGAGTTGGCCGCTCTCACAGTTCCTTCAGCTAATAGCCTCTTGGTCCTCCTGCCATGGAGTCGACCTGCAGGTATCGCATGTGGCCGGCGCGCACAACCAATGGGCCGATGACCTCAGCCGAGGACATCTCCAAGCCTTCAGCCACAGACCGCAAGAGCGGGTCCGAATCAGCCTTCAGCGACTAGCCTCAGCGGCCTCGCACGCGGGTTGGTCCGGAGCTCCGGGATCCATCAGTCTATTACTGCCCAGATCGGACTGAGCGAACAGCAGCTGTCCTTGAGCCAGGAGAAAAGGCCCGCTGCACTGCCAGTCACAGGTCTCTCCTGCGTTCCCAATATCCCCGAATTCCGCCTTGACCTGCCCAGGTCCATCTCCACCGCCCGCGGTGGGGGATGATCGCCTTTGGCCTTACCGGTTGGATCTGTCCCTGAAGTGGGGGAGTTTTTTGCCCTGGCTAGCCCTCTATGCCTTGGCACCTCCGGGCTAGCCGCGAAGCCTCACAGATCCAACACGGTACAAAAGACGATGCAAGTGGTAGAGCAGTGCAAGCCTTCTAGAACGTTTCGTGTTTTTGTTCACGTATGTTTTAGAAGGCATGTGAATCTGTAACACATCGCAGCACTGGCTCTAGCACTTGAGTCGTCTCGAAAAAGCCCCACCCACCCACGCCTAGGTGCCAGCCTTCGGCCCCAGCCTCAGTCTTGCCTTTGATTCTTGCTGATGCCATCCTCAGCCAGTTCAGCATTCAACAGCCTTGCCAGAGCACGGCCTCCGCGAGGCCGGCTGTTCGCACAAGCCGAGCCTACTCCGTAGCCACGGATCACCTGCCTCAGGTCGGTTCGTCTAGCCCCCCGCTCCTCCGGAGCCTTGCTCCAAGCACTTCCTAAGCCCAGCCCCATTAGCTTGCCCACCGTACCCATCGTGCCCAGGTACGCTCTTCTTCGACCTCATCGAGGCCGGACTGATGCCGAGTGACGCCTTTATAGTTATTACACACGTCTCACGGAGCCCGGCTTGCCTGCCCAAGGTCATGCCTGCCTTAAGTCTCACTTTGGCCTTCTGCATTCCGCCTCTCAGCCTCTGAGACTTGCCTCTCAAGCTCCCTGGGAGCCTGTTTCTTAGCCTTCGAAGTTTCACTGACTTCTCACAAAGCCTAGTCAACTGGGGGAGTTTTTTGCCCTGGCTAGCCCTCTATGCCTTGGCACCTCCGGGCTAGCCGCGAAGCCTCACAGATCCGACACGGTACAAAAGACGATGCAAGTGGTAGAGCAGTGCAAGCCTTTCTAGAACGGACCATTTTGCAAGCGACCCAGAAAGTTTGTAACCAAGTCGCACAGAGACAGCCCTAGTCGCGCAGTGGTAGCGTTACCGGCCGTGCTGCTTCGTGCTGGTTCCCTCGCACACCTATACTGCTTCTCGTTTTCGTGCTACTCGTGCTTCCTTACTGAGGCCCGACTGTCGTCGAGGACACAGCGTCTCAGGCGCGTCCGGCTCGCGCCTCAAGGCTTGCTGCTTCGCTGGCGCAGGTCTGCGCTCTTTGTGGACGTCCAAAGCTTGCAGCTCTCGCAAGTCCCGACCACGTTGCAGCGGCTGTTGCGGCAGGTTGGAAAACACAGTGACTGCCTCGGCCTCTACTTCAATACTGCTCGCGCCTGTGCCGCCGTCTTCTGAGGTCGAAGCAACCTCTGGAGAAAGGCGCCTTGCATGAAACACAGAGCTTTTCAAAGCTCATCATGGAGGCATTCTGTTTGCAAAAAGGGGTGCGTGATTGTTTCGTTTTATATTATGTCATAGGGCGTTATATTGTACTATATCATGTTATTTTAAGTATATCGAATCGTATCAAAGTATATCATCTTTTTGTATAGTGTAAAATATTTTGTCATATGATAGTATATCAATATGTTCGTATATTACATGATGTTATATTTTTGGGTTATATCATATAAATTATAACATACTAGAAGACAATTGGCCCGAAAGCATCATCAGCGAAGAGTGTGGGGCTATGTGATAGATCCAGTGTATAGGATCGTAAAGTCACAGAATCAAGAGTCATAGAGTCCATGAGTCATGAGTCATAAAGTCATAGAGTTGCAGTGACATAGCGGTGTGACCGCGCCCAAATCCTCGTGTGCCGATCATCCGAGATCGGGAGGTGCATAATCTTTTAACTTGATGGCCGGCACGTTGAGTTTCCCCTTTGTACGCCTCGAGCGAAAAAGAGAGATGCGCGAATGATTGAGGTCTGTGCCATATTGCGATTCAAGAGAATACAATTATATTACAAAGGATTGCTTCTTCGACAAATAATTGGAGACTGCGATCTTTATGCTTACAATGTGTTCAGAGTTTACGAAACCTTTGAAACTTTGTGGAACGTAAAGTCACAGAATCAAGAGTCATAGAGTCCATGGGTCATGAGTCATAAAGTCATAGAGTTGTAGTGAGATAGAGTCACGGAGTCGTGGAGTCATCTTTGTACCATACACTTGACTCGATGTAGTTCACTCTATGCCCTGTGTGTGGGAACGCTTAATCAAGATCCGCCTAGCGTGAGGGCTCAGAGCCTGACTCAACAGGTCAAGTGGCAACTTGTCAGAGGGATTGGCAAATGCATAATATATGGATACTATACATATAAATATATATATATATATATATATATATTATATATATATGGAAATGTGCCTGGCCAAGAACTGGCCACTCGTCCTTGGCATTCCTGCCTCTCAAGTTATGAAGGGTGGAACGCCTCACATCGTCCTCATTGTACCAGCGGAAACACCAGCTGCGGAAAATGGCGTTATTGCAAGAAGCTTCACTGACTTCACAATAATAGAGCTGCGAATGAGGACAGAGTCACAGGTGACTGACTGGTCTCTGATCAGCCATGGCACATCTTAAAATCTTCCTGAAGACTTGGCTTTTTTTACACACACGCACATTCTTCTCGTGTTTGGGTCGTTGCTTGCTTGCTCTTTCGCAAGACAGCGTCGAAGCAAGCAAGCAACGTCCCAAAGACCGGCATCGGAGAGGCGGCCTGAGGAGGTGCCGGGAGAGGTCATCCCAGGGATTACGGTGGTCCGGAGCCTCGTGAAAATGGCTGATTGTAGTTGCAAAGGTTCGTCGGGAGCCCCGAGCCTCCATAGCACGCATTATACCAAGCCAGGGTATAGGGGTATAGTATCATGGAAGAAGAAACATAGCGGCAGCTGACAAACATCCCCAAACGGAAGCCGCAACACTGGTCTCTGAAAGGAGTCGGGAATTAGGGTTTCGCTCTTCATCTCAAACCACAACAGGCCAGCGTATGTTACTTAGCCGATTCAACAGACTCCAGGGGAACGCCAGGGGCTTATGGGTCCTTAGGCCTAGTAGTAGGACTAATGCAGGGATCATGGTGGTCCAGAGCCTCCTCCAGAAAGATTGATTCTAGCTGCAGACATTCATCGAGAGCCCCAGGCTTCGGTGACACCCTGTGTATCAACCCAAGGTATACTATCTCAGAAGAAGAAACCCGGCGGCATCTGGCAAACATTCCCAAGCGGCAGTCACAACACGGGTCTCTCAAAGGATGATTGGGGATTTAAGATCTATCCTATACCACAAACGGGTCCACCTCGCTGAGCTGCTGCGCGATCCGTGGCGCCGGGATTCCAGCAGCGAAAGGCAGTGCAGTCATTAGGGATTTGGAAAGACACCGTTCCGAAGTGAAACACCTTACTTCACCAGGAAACCCGCCAGATGCCGCAAAGTATTTAACGTGCCACGCAATCGAGGAGCTCCTGCGTCTCGATGAGCCTTTGTCTGCTCACAGGACGTCGCGGCCAGGAGGAGAACACCGAGGCATTGGGAATCACTACGCTTCCGCCGCACCAATGTACCAATGCGAGCACTTGAAGTTGCCGTTGACGGTTCGCCCATCATAGTTCTCGCTCGGCAGCCTTCGATTGTCAATCGGCCTGAGACGCCCACGGTACCTCACAACTTCATGGTGC